ACATAGATTGGGTATGAGGGATGGGCTTTGTTGTCATGCCCACTTATACTTTCTTGGAAAACTTAAGCTCAACAATCTGTCCTAGCCTTGCCAATTGCATGTTATGTTTATAGTCTGTCTTCTAGGAAATAGGTTAGTAGTAAGCATCAGGAATACTTTTCGGTCTTTAACACAAAATATTGTGCATGATTATCTGTTCCACTACTTGCCCCAAAACTAGAGTTATGGAGTAGAGGGCTATGTGGGGTTAACTGGTTGTTATCTTGACGAGATGTTGCACGCATTATAATTATAAACTAACAAAAATGATTATTTACTGTGATAGTTATGAACTAACAACTAGCAGAAATGTAGGCTACTATATGGCACCAACTTGTCATTCATATTTGCATTTTCACTGCCTCATTTTTATTCTTTCTCTGTAATTCTTGCCTTTAATGTATTCAGTTTCCTATGCTGGTGACTCTAACTGAAGCTTTTCTTTTGTGTTTCATTTTTGCATAACTCTAGCAGGCCAATCTCTGAAAACCTAGCAATCCAGTATTCGGGCCTTCTATTTGTCTGTGGTAACCACTATAATTCCTGAAGAGTGGTTCTCTATAAATTGATGTCTTCAATATGATTATATGTTTTGCAGTATGGTTGGTTGATTAAATATGGCTTTTGGTTTAGTTCAAAATCGTTGAGAAATTGCCCCCCTTCATGTGCTGGTATGTTTGACGAATCCTCTGAAAAATAAGATTAGTTCTTAAATTGTCATTTGACATTCTGAAATTATATCTATGCTTTGTATGCATTCTTAGTCTCAACATATTTCCGCTTGCTGCCTTTATAGTGGAAAGGTTGGCACAACAAAAGTGTATTTCTGAACCAATAAGTGATCTTGTGAATTAAGCATGAAAAAACTGTTCCGTGTCCACATTAATTCCTTGATTCTTTGACAAGTAACAATAGTTTCATAATATAAAATGAGATATTTTTTATCACATAATTTTTTATATTTCCATACATGATGAGAATGTTGAATTGAATATTGCAGGTTGTTGTTCTACTTCATCTAATCATCACGATTGTTGAATTCTCCTATCCAGTTTTAGTTATACCCAGGTCAGTATAGTCTCCTACAAATTTGTTGGTTCTTCATTCTTCAAATATACTAATGTGATAAAAGTAGAAGCTTTGTCTGTTGAAACTATGTAAGGTGTCATCTACTGTCATATGCATTACATCCATGTAACATTTGCAAGCCCTTAATTAACTATAGGATCAAAGCATATCCTTATGTTTCCATCAACAGAAAAGCAAATTGTAAATTGTTTATCTAGCATTAACAATTGTAAAGCTATAATGGATTAATTAACATACCATATGATGCCATCATAATGAATTTGAATCTGGTTTTGTGGTAGAAGTTATTGGAAATGGAAATAGATCCTCCGTAGTTTAGAATTTATCTGGATTGATTGCAGTTCTAATCCAACAGTTGAAATTTCTTAAGCTTGTATTTTTTCTAACTATTAATTACAATTACCTTTGTTTGCTTAAAAGTAAAAGGTAGGAATGTTAGTATTATATAGAAACAATTAATGTATCTGATTCCATCATAATGAATTTGAATTGCTTTCTTTCTAAAATACTTTGGAGCTGGTTTTTTTCTTGGATTCTGATTCAATATTACTGGCAGCTTTTGGTGCTTTGGTTTCATGCATATATTTTTAGCTTCTTGTAGAGAAAGGTGAACTTCTCACAAGATTTGGTTCAGCAACTCTTGGAATACTTCTTTTACAGGTTTTTTTCTTACACTCTTGCTTGGTTACAGTCAAATTTCCATGTAATTTTTTACCACAAAAAAATTACATCCTATTTTTCTTTTCTATTGTAGAACAACTACATGGCTGAGCTAAATGAAACTTTAGTTTCTGACACTATAGAACATCTAGCTGAACAAATGTTATCGCCTCGCGATTCTGAAGGGCGTAAGAATCGATCTGATGTATGGAATCACTTTATTGAGGAGCCAAAGCCCAACATAGATAAGAGAGCTAAATGTAACCATTGTGGTACATTGATTAGGTTTGAGAATGGAACAAGTGCTATGCGAAATCATTTACGTAGATGCAAGGGTATATCAAATAAAATGTTGAGCAAGAAGCAAAAATCAAACTCATCTGGAACCATGGTTTCTTCCCCTTCATTGGCTAGGCCCAAAATTGACCAACAAGCATTGAGAATTGCAATTGTCAAAATGTTTGTGGCAATGGAGCTCCCATTTCAATAAAGTGATTCCATACATCAGATCGATTCTTACGCCCTTCAGAATCGCGAGGCAGTAACATTTGTTCAGCTAGATGTTCTATAGTGTCAGAAACTAAAGTTTCATTTAGCTCAGCCATGTAGTTGTTCTACAATAGAAAAGAAAAATAGGATGTAATTTTTTTGTGGTAAAAAATTACATGGAAATTTGACTATAACCAAGCAAGAGTGTAAGACAAAAACCTGTAAAAGAAGTATTCCAAGAGTTGCTGAACCAAATCTTGTGAGAAGTTCACCTTTCTCTGCAAGAAGCTAAAAATATATGCATGAAACCAAAGCACCAAAAGCTGCCAGTAGTATTGAATCAAAATCCAAGAAAAAAACCAGCTCCAAAGTATAATACTAAAGTACCTTTATATGAGAGAAATATGTGAGTTGTACAACAGCTAAATATTCTTCTTCGCCCAAATGAATGGAGCCACTCTCGTTACGGGAAAAATTGAAGAAGTCGTTGCTTCCAATGCTGATGAGAAACAAAGCCTTAGAAACAAATGTAGCAGCTTTTACTGGTCCCAATATCTCAGTGAGATTGTCACGGACTGATGAAAATTGTTCCACTTGATTTCCAAGGAAAATCACTTCACCCTACAAAGACAATTCATTCCCAATTTAGTATTTTATTAAATCCTTATTTACAGATGCTGATTATATGTTAAAGAGATAACTTCTTTTTAACACTTTTTTCTTCTTTGAAACAAAACTTCTTAAGGAGTACCCATGCTTTTCTTTATATGAGCATTGATGCAGAGGAAATTATCAACCAGAACTTCATAAGGAGGCAATCCAATCAGAAACAAATCATCAAACAAAAACTAATGAACTATTTGATCTATTTCAGCTATAGAAATTAAAATTCTATTTTTACTTGATATCAATTTATCTAAACTATGTAGCAGATTAAGCATATCTTTTCCTCAAGTGGAAAGAAAATTAATTATAAACTAGAGTTATAATTATAAATTAATTTATATATGTTTCTTCAATATAGCATACACTTCTGTTTTACGTGTGCAGATTCACAACATAACATGAACATATATCTTTCCTCCTTTCCACCCAAATCAGGCCCAATCCTTAAATTTCAACAAGGTGCATTCAGAAGCAAGGTTTAAAACCAACAAGAAAATCAGTTAATTTAGTCCTCAAAAGCATTAAGAAAAGACATAATGCAGTATTATTTTTCTGTGCAAGGGTGTAACTCAACTAGCTGATCTACCAATCCCATGGTCCCTTAACTCCAGCAAACACAAATCCAGTAAAATCAGAAGTGAATAAATGTGCCTTTCAAGTTTTAGATGGAAATACAAGATGTAATAGTGTTCACACTTCATGAATTATAATGGTTTTACGTCCTTACTCCCTATTGTCGGTGCTATAAAGAGGTTAGCTTCGCTTTTGAGGCTAGGTTCCATGGTTCCACCAATGGCATATTGCACCCATCCTTGGTAAAGATTGTTGGCTACATGTGCATATCCATGACGAATCCTGAAATGTTACAAGTATTCTAAGTTTTTTTTTTTTTTTTTTTTTTAAGTTTTAGTTTGGTTCTCCCACCTTTTGTACTTTTTTTATCATATAGTTTTTTGTTGCGTTGTAAATGATTGATGTGGGATATGTGGTGCTAGTGGTGTTAGCTTAGCTAAATCACATTCTACATAGTGATGCCTTAATACTTCAATTTTTTTTTATTAAAAAGATATTATTTTAGGTAAGTAAGATATTTTTTAGAGTAATAAAATTTAACATTTGAGTATTTAATCATAACATTGAGAGTAGAAAATAATACTTAACTAATGCAAGTCATGTTTTGGAATATATATTAATTCTTAGTTATTAATTTTAAGATATTGTATAAACTATAACTACTATAAAAAAATAAATTAATTGGAAGAGGATGCTTAATAATTAGTGAAAAAAATGATAAATAGATGTCATTATGTTTTAAACAAATATTAATACTAAAGGAAATTTTTGATTGATTTTTTTCTTCTATTTAATCTATTATCCTTTCCTTTTAGATTCTTTCAGCTTGTCATGTAATTTGTATGTAGGGTAGGAGATACACTCTTTGTATTCTAATTCTAATCAAGTACACATATGAATTAGTAGTCTCTACCCTATAGTATTATATAACTTGGTTAAAAAACTTATTATTCCAATCACTAAACATGTATTCCAAAATTATTCAAATTTTTTTATTTTACATCAATTGATGAATTATTACTAATATAACAATTATATAGAAGTTGTAAAACAAACATAGATATTTATATGGATTTTATATTTTTATGTATTATAAGAGAATCACAATTTTATACGATGTTGGATTAAATTTAAATTAGTTTAATTATTTTTAAATTAAGTTAAACAATTGAAGTCATTATTGTTGGAGCGTATTAGAATTTCTAATTTGCTTCTATATTTATTGCAAAATTTAGATAATTGAGAACTTGAGGTTAAAATTTAAAACTAATTAATTGTTAATACTTACTTATTTCTATTCATAGTTTTCTTTTGCAAGAGACACTCTCTTGTCCATGACTTCAGAAAACAACTTAAACAAACTTCAATAGAATTCTCACCTATATAATTACTTCCTTATACCACAACATTTATAAAACACACAAGAAAATTAACATTCTCTTTCTTATTTCTCTTTAGTTTGCATTCACCAAGAACAAGTATCCTTCACGATGGTCTCTTTCATCCCTTGGTACTTTCTTTTGACTATCATGATCATTTCCCTTTTTAATCCAAACCTTAGTTTTGCAAAGCAATCCAAGATAAATGGCTTGAAAATGAATGTTATTGATCGATGTTGGAGATTAAATCCAGAATGGAGGAGGTATCGATCTCAATTAGCTACATGTTCTGTGGGCTATGCTGGAAAAATGACAAACAATATGGATAAAGACCTTGTCCATTATAAAGTTACTAACCTTGGTGATGATCCTATAAACCCCAAACCTGGCACCTTAAGGTATGGAGCTTCCATGATTCAAGGTAAAGTATGGATCACATTCCAAAGAGACATGCACATCAAACTTAAGAAACCCCTTCTAATTAGTAGTTTCACTACCATTGATGGTCGAGGTGTTAACGTCAACATTGCTGATAATGCATGTTTAATGATCTTTAAGGTAATCACCAACTCTTACTAATTAAACTTGCATATGCTCAATAATTAAGCATAAAAAAATATTTTTCATAAGTTAATTACAATTCCATACATATCTTATTATTTGTTTTTAGGCCACAAATGTAATCATCCATGGAATTCGGGTTCATCATTGCAAACCTCAAGCCCCTGGGATCGTGATGGGGCCAGAAGGAAAAGTGATTCCTTTGGGCCATGTAGACGGGGATGCAATTAGATTGGTTACTGCTTCAAAGATTTGGATTGATCATAATACACTATATGATTGTCAAGATGGTTTACTTGATGTAACACGAGGTTCCACTGATGTGACTGTTTCCAATAATTGGTTCAAAAATCAAGACAAGGTTATGCTTCTTGGGCATGATGATGGATATGTGAGAGACCAAAACATGAAAGTTACTGTTGTCTACAACCATTTTGGACCTAATTGTAATCAGCGTATGCCAAGGTAACTAAATGTTTAATTAAAAAGTCAAAATACAGAAATTTAATTATATTACACAATATGAATTTGTCTTATTCATAACCAAAATAACATTTCAGGATTCGTCATGGATATGCACATGTAGCCAACAATCTTTACCAAGGATGGGTACAATACGCCATTGGTGGAAGCATGGAACCTAGCCTCAAAAGTGAAGCTAACCTCTTTATAGCACCGAAAACAGGGAGTAAGGAGGTAATACATTTTAGAAATTTCATTTCAACTACATACTATTCAATAGATAACATGCCACTAGGTTATTTTTTATATATAAAATAATTTTACTAACACTCTATTAACATTATTTAATGTGTGTAGGTGACATGGAGAAAGGATAGTCATAAAAATTGGGATAGATGGGAATTTCATTCAGTAGGGGATGCTTTTGAAAATGGAGCTTCATTTACAATAACAAAAGGAGGAAATGTGCCAAAGCCGAATTATAGCAAGGAGCAAAGTTTTCAAGTTGTTGATGTCAAATATGTGAGATCATTGACACGCTCATCAGGCATGTTAAAATACAATAAAACTTCTATATCACCATAAACTAAAAGGATACAAAAGGGATCTTATAGCAAAGTTGGTGTCACATGAGATTTAAACCTAGTGACAATCAAACCCTTAAAATTTCTTTGAATATATTAAAACTCTATTGTAATTTAAATTTGAATTCTAAACTTGTAAGTTCAGAAATTCATTGTACTAGTATAATTAAAATAATGGATTGGTTTTATAATGATAAGAAAAGGTTACTTATTTTATTTTAATTTTCAGAGGATTTTAATGAGAAAAAAAATATATAATGTGCATTTTTTAAAATAGAAAAATCTCCAAATTCAATTTTTTTTTTTTATTTTTTTTATAGAACTTACATTTCCTCCGCTTTAAGAACAAACTTGAAATCTGGTCTTATAATGTGTAAGATGAAAAAACTATGATTTGTTTCAATTGAAAAATTGCAATTGTTTTTTTTTTTTTAAGTTTCACAATCAAACTTATAAATAATTTTTCAAATTATAAAATTTTATTGAATAAATATTTTATTATAATCCCATCCAAACGTATAAAACCAGAAGATAACAATTCATCAAGTCCTAAACGTTTGAATGGTACACTTGATTTCAATAAGTTTATATAAGATAAAGAAAAATTCGCCACAGGAAATTGTTTAAAATTAGGAGTTTGTTTGGATTAATTTTCCAATAAAAATAAAATAAAATAAGTTTCTTAATCAACTAAATTTAACTTTTCACATAAGTTAAAAATTAGTTTTTTAAAAAGATAATATGAGATAAAGTAAAACTTTCTTAGTGTTAGAATTACCAACATCAAATGACAACTTTTTTCTAACTAGACATGTGATATATATCATGTTCTACATGAGTATATTTATACATGGATGCTTATCATGTAAGAAATACATTTGGTCTAAAAACAAATGTCCTAATCGTAAATGTAATAATGTGGCGTGAGGTAGAGCTAAAATTAGTAGAATTTATATATGAAATATGTGAATATTGATTTTCTTTGTTGATTATAAATTACATAATGTAACATCCTAAATTTTCTAAAATTATTAGAAGAATATTTTAATTAATTAAATAGGTTTCATAATTGCATCAAAGACTTTTTAAACAATTATGAGTATTTTTATTAATTAAAGAAAGATTTGTGAAATTCTTTATTATATTAATTATTAAAAATATAAAGATATTTTATTTATTTTAACACATTTTGATTATATTATGGTTTTGATTAATTGAGAGGTTTTATAGATAAGAATATTTTTAGATAAGGAAAATAAAGATTGCAAAATTATTTTATTTGAACAAATATTATGTTATATATTTATCAATAAGAGTTTTAAATAATTAATTGAAGTTATTTATTTTATTACAAGAGTTTCTAATAAGAAGAAATATTATCTAGTTTAATTATTATAGATAATCATTTGAATTTGAAGAGAGGAATCGATGGTGGATTAATGAGTTTTTACTGACAAGATATGCGCGAGCTACGGTTTAGCTTTCCTTCTGTTTATATATTAATAGTTTAGGGTTGCCTTCATCATTAAGATGCATCCTTGTGCTATAAAAAAAGAGAGTGATTCATTATTGAGAGAGAATAATAACAAAACAAAAGAGAGAAGATAAGAGAGAAACTCATTATTCATTTCGCATAGCCACCAAACACCAATTTTCTAATTACAATCAGGGGTTTATTTGTCATTGGATTAGGCTAAATTTTGGATAGTGGGTTCATAGGACATTATTCTTCATCTTCAACTGTTAGTTCTTCCAAATGATGTTTGGGGTGGGAGAAAAATTATTTCACACTAAAAGCTCTACTTTCAAGTGTTTTAATCTTCTTGCTTCTCATTGAGGAGGGAGAATAGGAGGCTACCAGAGATGACCTCAAAGATCTATACATGGAGTTTGGTAGTCATCGAAGTAAGAAGGGGAGTAATGACCTCTCTTTGGGTGTGGGTTATTTGTGGGGTAGCGGGGGGCCCCCAATCTAGTTGTTTGTGTTGGATTGCATGAGGGATTAAGCCCAACTTGTTTGTGACATCTGTGATGTCTTTACTACTCCCAACACATATATTGTAAGAATGTAAATAAACTAAGGAAATAAATTTTTTAACATTGGTAAAAGGGTTCACATAAAAACTTTCATAAATGTTTTTCAATATCTAAAATAAATGAAAATAAAACTTGGAAAACAAAACATAAGAGTTTACAAATTGTTTTCAAAAGAATAAGTATAACTCCAAATGCATATAAAAATCCTTGTCCTAGAAATATCCTCTACCCCGATGTCACAATATCAGAGCACACCCATAATTCAACTGTTGGCATTCTAGATGCCACTCATAGCCGGATCTTCCTCATCTAAAACATCTACAAATTATACGGTGAGAAAAGAAAACATCTATATGTAAAGCACATACAAACATACCACAATGTAGTCTCATCCTAACTCATTACATAATGAAATATTTACAACCATTTCTATATATCATAATTCTATCAATCATGCAACATCTTTACATCACAATTCTTAATCACACCAATCCATCACATCAAATAATTTGTACTATGTTAAGCTCACGTCACCCTTGTAGCATCTCGTGCCCAAGGTCGTGCCACGCCAACATAAGTACTAATTGCCACACATAAATCTTGCAATTAACATTATGTCATGCTCACGCCACCCCTGTAACATCTCTTTCCCAAGGTTGTGCCACGTTGACATATGTGTTAATTGCCTCACACATCCCACACTATGCCATGCTCATGCCACCCTTGTAGCTTCTCATGCCCATGGTTGTGCCACGTTGACATAAGTGTGAGGATATCCACAATCACATCACATTCAATTCATACCAATTTCCACACACAAATATTGCAATTAACACTATGTCATGCTTATGTCATACTTGTAGCATCTCTTGCCCAAGCTCGTGCCATGCCAACATACGTGATAATTTCCTCACACATCCCACACTATGTCATGCTCACGCCACCCCTATAACATCTCTTACCCAAGGTCGTGTCACACCAACATAAGTGTGAGGAACCACAAACACATTTTGTTCACAATCATCACAAATCTTGCAATTAACATTATTTCATGCTCACGCCACCCTTGTAGCATCTATAGTCGATGTAGGACTTGGGTGTTTCCCAATACACCCCCTCACGTCCAGCACTATTAGGCTTGGTACGTGGATAAATGGAGGGTGACCCTTTTTTTTAATGATCTAGGATAGGCGGGGCTTGAGTTTTTTCTCAATACACCCCTCATGCCCATGGTGCATGTATCAATGGTAGGTGGCCTATTCAGAGTGGATCTAGATAGCTTTGCTACCATCTTAGAATAATAAAATTGAGTCTAACTCAACCCAACAAAACTGACTTATAAGGTAAGAATTGTTCTCCACTTATATACTCTTTAATTGCCTTATCTCTAGTCGATGTGGGACTTGGGTTTTTCCCAATACCATCTCACAATATAAGAGTATCAACCATTGGTACATTTTCATCCATCATTCACTATCATTCCATCTCAACATACATCATAATAATCAATTGACTTATGTAATGCATGTTTTTAACTCTACATGCATGTGGTACCCATCTCCTCATCATCATTGAGTATACAAAATAAGCTAGGAGTAATGGAACAAGACCACCTTATCGAATAGTGTAAGGACCACCCATCAATAATGATCTTTGTCGAACCACCTCAACTAGGAGATGTTTATTAGGGTCTTGCTGAGGTGTTACAACTAGCCATGGTAACCTCCCATTTCCATTAGAGGTTTCCCCACCATAACACGCATTGGGGGCATAGGTAGATGACCTATGATATCTCACCTACATAGAATCACACTATCCCATAAAATAAAGTTTGAATGCATGGACTTAATACAATTAGTACAATCAGCACAATATGCAATACTCAACTCCTCGAGTATCAATCCATAACATTAAACTTATTCATCATATCTCATCATAAATACTCACAATGACTCATCACATCATGCATCATTATAATTTCTTATACATCAATATTTTCTCAATACACACATCATTATTATTATGCATTCTCATCATTTATTCATCACATATCATAACATCATCATCATCATTGCACCTCAAATATAATCGTAGACCATAACATTATTCATTATCATTACTCGTATTAATACATTGTATATCAAGGTAACTTCACATATGACATCATCAATATTTACACACTAGAATACACCCTTCTAGCCAATTCCTTACATATTACTATTCATTAATTTAGTCTCTTAATATACAATATCAATCTCTTTTCATGGTTCCTCATTTATTAATAATATCATAAAATAAAGCATTTAAAAAAGTAAAAGGCATGGCACCCCGTAGGAATGGTTTAATCATTTCTACCCTTATTCCTTGTCCCTCAAATACGTCCAAGGATCCAACAATCTCACTCCCTCTACTTGGAGTGACGATCTTGTTGAATAATCCACTTCTTGTAGCTCCAACTGCTAATCAGTGCCTTCTCTGATGGTTTCTTCTAGATTTTTTTTCTTGTGAACGCTTTAGGTTTCAGAAACAAATAGTAACTTAATCTTTTTCCTCTTTCTTCTTTTTAATTAGTCTCTGGATTGGACCTAAAGTCTAATCCACAATCTCTTGAATTATGTCTCCTCATTTTATTTTATAAAAAAAATATTTCTCTTATAACATTCTAATTATTCTAATTTATTATTTATTTATTCTATAAAAATGAGATATTATAATTTACCAATATATATATTATTTTTAAGTTGGATATACATAGACTTATATATATTTCTTATTTTACTTAAAGTATTTAAAAAATTGACAAGGTTGTTTTTATTTGGCACAATGAAGATTTTGTTTTAGAATTTTAAAAGAATTTAACTTATATTAAATTTAAATATTTTGTTATTTTAAAATGTGAAATGATACATGTATTTAAGAGTATCAACCATTGGTACATTTTCATCCATCATTCACTATCATTTC